CTTCATTCATTCCACAATGTAGATCAGTGGTACACAACCTTTGGCCTTCCAAGTGTTTGGGACTTTACACCCAGAAGCCCTAGCCAGCTTGGTCAGGAGTTCTGGGAGCTGAAGTTCAAAAACCACTAGTGTAGATGCACCTTAGGACATGGGGCAATGGATTCAAAGTACAGGGAAAGGCATGCCACCTAAATATTAGGATGAAGGTTCAGAGAGTGCTGCTCCCTTGATAAGCATTCTGACTTCCAAGATTGACACATCATTCAGATACCAGCCCTTGATAACTGAATCAACTGCTCATAACTCCCCAAAATGTCAACTTAATCATGAATGTCACAGACTTTCCCCCACCTTCACTACAGATGAAAGGAGTATTAAAAACAATGCATACAAGTGTTATGTCGAAGGCTTTCATGGCCAGAATCACTGGGTTGCTGTGAGTTTTCCAGGCTGCATGGCCATGTTCCAGAAGCATTCTATCCTGACGTTTTGTCCACATCTACGGCAGGCATCCTCAGAGGTTGTGAAACTAGATCTATAAACACAGATATATAAACCTCACTTGCCTAGTTTCCAACAGACCTCACAACCTCTGAGGATGCCTGCCATACATGTGGGTGAAACGTCATGAGAGAATGCTTCTGCAACATGGCCATGCTGCTTAGAAAACTCACAGCAACCCAATGCATACAACTCTTGAGAAATGCTGATGAGAATAATTATGGACTAATAAGAACTTTTCCTATGCTAAATTCACGAAGGAAATAACACTTTATGAACAGGGAACAGGATTTTCTCCAGAGAAAGAAATTCTGTACAGAAAATATTATTGTGCAGAATATGCACATAGCAATCTAATGGGCCATAATCTTTAGAAACTGCATGGTGTGTGGGTGTTGGTGTGTGGCTCAAATTACTTGCATTCTCCTTAAGAGAAGAACATTAATAAACAATTACAGCATTCACTTTTGCAAACCTAACGAGGTGAGTTGTTGTAGGTTTTTTTTTCGGGCTATATGGCTATAGTCTAGAGGCCATGGTCTAGAATGCCTCTAGACCATGGCCATATAGCCCAAAAAAACCTACAACAGCCCAGTGATTCCGGCCATGAAAGCCTTCGACAATACTAAGGAGGTGGGTTTTGCATAGCTCTAATTCATATCATGCATATAAGTTGACTAATTCCACCCCTTCCCAGCAAAGAATCAAGATTGTCTGGGTAAAGACTTTTAAGTTAAAGTGCAGAACCCTAACAATGAAAGACAACGGCTGGTCGGATTCCATACAATCACCAGCATCCCATAGACCCAACAGAAAAATCTATTCTGAGTCTTCTTAGTGGAACGAAACATTTCCTTTGCACTTGATCTCCCTCAAAAGGGGAGATGCTTGGGGCTCCCTCCTCCTGATGTGGAAACTCCAAGATGTTTCTCTCAAAAAAGACTCAGATACTCCTTCTTTTTCTACTGAACAGCTCATGTTAGGCGAAGTCAGCTCTCTTGCAGCATTATCCCTTGAAGCTCTGTGCCAAAAGCCCTTTTATGGCCTGCAATGACTTTGACATACTTGCACAATCTGTCTTCTCTCTCAGTTCTGGAAAGTGATAGCCTTGTTCTGTTTGAGTCTCTTCCTCTACAGCACCTGACAGTTCTTTTATTTTGGCACTGTATTTTCCCCCACAGAAGATAATTCTGCTGTCAAGGCCACTGAAGTGCCACTGAGGCATTGCCTTCCATATTTAGAAACCCCTCCGTTCCTTTGGAACTTGGACTCTCATGCTAGGCAGGAAAGACAGAACTGACACAGGCTGGATTCTACCCATCTGGGATCCCCAATATCTTCAAATTGTGCCCCAGGTAATCCCTGCTGTCTCGTTCCATCAAACTTTTAAGGCAGAGGTGGGTAATGTTTTTCCACAGAAGGACACTTTGGTAACATAATGAGAGAGCACCAGAGAGAGAGAGGGACATATCTTCAACTAATTTGCTTAAGCATATGTGCATTATGTCAAGTTTTATCTGTCACAGAACAGCCCCAAACAAATTCTCTAAGGAAGAAGGAAGTGGTGGCCAGACAGAATTAAAAGATCTATGAATGCATTCGTCAGGAGAAAGAGACAGGTGAAAAACATTTGTGTGTGTGTTCTCATACAATAAAAACATAGGTCGACACTAGGAAATGCAGCTTGCAAAGCACAAATATGCCTTTATTCCCGGCTTACACTGGAGAGTTCCATTCTCCCAATCCAAGAACTATAGAATTGGAAACTTTGGATTTTTTTCTTTTACTGCTTGAGTCACAGCTGGGTTGATTGCTTGCCCCAGGAGAACATAATAGTTTTGGGGGGTTGGTGATTGTCCTGCAATGAAGACCACTAGGACCATAAAGTTCACAAGTGCTTGCAAGTTATTTCCTTTCTTAACAAAGCCAAAACATGTGCTGGACCAAGGGGTAGCAGAATATTTAGAATACCATATACCCATGTATTAAAGGTATATCCTGAAATGACCCCCCCCCCCCCCCACACACACACACACACACACCCGTAAATGTTACCACTATAATCTAGTAATTATCCCAGGATGCTTGTTCTGTCACGTGCTGGGCCAGTAAAGAATTGCCTTTAAGATCGGATGTGCAACTTGAGCCCAGCGGGAAGCCAGGGCCCCCCGAAGAGAAGTTCTCAGAGATTTTCCACCACAAATGGTCTTTAGATGGCTTGTGAAGTATAACAAAGTCCTTTATTAATGAACAATCAAACAGAAACGTCTCTTGTCTTCAATAAAGTTAAACAAATGCTTCCAGGCTTTTATGCAACTGGTGGCTTCCTAATCTTGCCCACGAGGGACAGGCAACTGTCTTCAATGACTGTTTCTTTACTTTAAAGGAAAATCCCTTTTAACTTCTCCCAGGCTGACTGTAATCTAAGTCTTACTGATGTGGGCTCCACTACCAGGTCGAACTGCGTCTCGAGTATCGAGTGGACCTACCAGTAAGGCCAGTAGATTTTCCAGCTGGAGTTCTTTGGTCTTCCAAACTGTTTACCCTCCGAAATTTCTCAAAGCTTTAGGGCTGTTTCCCTGGAAATCTTTGGAGATCTTTGGATGCTCTTAAGACTGTTCTCCCCCGGAAAGTCTTAAGGGTTGAAGCTTTTGTACAGGAGAAGCTTGTACACGTCCTCTAAATTAGCTTTCCTTACTGAGACTAACTAAAAATGGCTCCCTTCCCTTCCCAATTGCCCTGAGCAAGGGGCGGAACCAAAACTTAACGATGATGGACAGGTGACATGCCCTACGACTGCAACCAAAGGAAGCCACCTTTCTGCAGAATCACTGAAAACTTGGACTGCAAGCAAACATTTAATAAAGTTGGAGCTCCTGGTACAGCCATATCAGCATAATGCTCCTATAATTTCAAAGCATGTTTCAGTGGCCAAGGAATGCCCAACAACTCTGCTGTAACTTCAAGTAGTATGCACTATGTATCATTCCTTTTGCTAAGGGAAACATAAAGGGAAACAACTGCATTCCTCCTATGGCTTGTTCACCTCTCAACACTGGTTCTGTCTTCAAAACCAATCCCTCCAAATTGAAACCAAGATCCTCTCCTATGCTTTTCAGGTATATATTTAAAATGTGAAGCCATCTTTTCACAGTGGTTCATTGAAGAGATGAGCAACAATTTAAAACAGAGCAAGTAATTTGAAAAAGAAAGAAAAAAACCCCAACATTACAGGCAGTCCCCAAGGTACATTTTTAAGTGCAACTCCAGCCATGTATAAGTTTTGGATAGCATAGAGACGGATTAATACTTCTGTGTTGTTTGTTTTGCTGTCTGTGCCCCTGTTCAAAAATTTCACCTCACTTTGTGATATTTGGATTTCGAAACAAAATGGCTTGCTATGGAAATAAGGATTGGGGCATAATCCTGTAGTTGAAGCACCTCTTCCCCATAATAACTCTTCTAGGATTAAAATCCCCTTCCGAGGGGGAGATTTCTTGTATTTCTTGCTGTCTCACCCTGTTCTTAACTTTGAGCACCGGGATTGCGGCACAGCTGGCTGAGTGTCAGCTGCATTAAGATCACTCTGACCAGAAGGTCATGAGTTCGAAGCCAGGCCAGGTCGGAGTGAGTGTCCGGCCAATTGTGTAGCTTGTTGTCGACCTTTGCAACCCGAAAGACAGTTGCATCTGTCAAGTAGGAAAACTAGATACCATCTATGTGTGGGGAGGCTAATGAACTAATTTATGAGGCATAAAAATACTCCAGCAAAAAGCACTCCTGCAAAGTATGCGGGGAATGCGGAAGTACTTCATCAGTGTTGCAGATGGACAATGAAAGCGACAGCTCCCCTGGTGACTAGAAAAAGTTAAATAGCCTCTGTGTATGTCTATATACGTTGTATGTCTAATTGGCATTGAATGTTTGCCATATATGTGTACATTGTAATCCGCCCTGAGTTCCCTGTGGGGTGAGAGGGGAGGAATATAAATGCTGTAAATAAATAAACAAATAAATAAATTAGATGTTTGTAATTCAGGGACTGCCTGTATATATTGAGGACTATAAAATGGCTGTCACACACCCACCCCAACTGCGATGTTGTAGTAATGTCACAAATCCATGGTGTTACATTACAGTGCAGACCTGTAACTCAAAAGTTGCTATGCCAAAGGATCTGTTTAGAACTGTGACACAAATGACACAGCAAGGCTCTTCCAATCAAACGGCCCAGAAAGAAGCCTGTGATTAGCTATCAAGCTCTTTTGTACTCTCCCACCAAGAAAGTGGACACCACTCATGTCTATAGTAGATGAGGATAAGGTGGAATCTAAAGGCCCCATGATTAAGCGGCAGGACAATAAACAGAAACCATTTGATCCAAAAGTTTCTGAACATCAGCCATCAAGTGCATCTATTCAAAGCCCCAGGGAACTGAAAACACTAGATGATATTTTGCTTTTGTTTTCAGTTCTTCCACAGTCTCCACTGAGTCTTACCTTGCACTATGAGATGGACCCGCGATGTCTTTGGATGATTGTCTGTTTGTACAGAGCAGGTGTAAGGGCCTTCGTCATATATGTCCACATTACGGATCATGATGCTGTACTGGGTTTTGGTGTTCGTGAGGATAACCACTCGGTCATCTATTGACCATTTGTCATTCCCGGCATAAAGAATTGTGCTACGATTGAGCCAAGCTACTCGAGTGACTCTGTCATCCACAGTACACCTAAAGAGAAAACAAAAGAAAGAGAGTGGTTATTATTATTGATTATTGATAATGATTGATTGATTGATCATCATCATCATCATCATCATCATCATCATCATGATCATCATGATCATCATTATTAGAAACACAACAAGATGAGTCTACAGCAGACACTCTGTATTGGATCATAAACAGAGGCGACTCTAGGTAATTTTCAATGGTAAGCAAACAGTATTTTGGCCCCCCCCCCCCCCAACCAATCACTGATATATATTTTCTGTTCGTCATGGGAGTTCTGTGTGCCATATTTGGTTCAATTCCATCATTGGTGTTCAGAATGCTCTTTGATTGTAGGTGAACTATACATCCCAGTAACTACAACTCGCATATGTCAAGGTCTATTTTCCTCCAAGAGCACCTCAAGAGCACCCCTGGGCAAAATCAACTATACTGCAAATGCTTACTTTGCGTAATGGGTTGAGCCACCCCTGATCATACATCAGATACTTCCCAAGTGTCTAGGACTGAGTGATATATCAGCAAATAATGTGTGCAGACCCCAGTAAGATGTCCTTCTGCAGCTGACAGATGGTAATTTTGTCAGCGCCGATTGTGTTTAAGTGCAGGCCAAGGTCTTTAGGCACTGCACCCAGCTTGACGTGTTCATTGTCTGTAACTTTTTCCAGCATGTGATCCCACCAATTCTTTGTCACAGGCAGATGGTATTATTATTATTATTATTATTACATCTATCTATCTATCTATCTATCTATCTATCTATCTATCTATCTATCTATCTATCTATCTTATCTATTTCCTGCCTTCCTCTTACTATTTGAACTCAAAGCACCTTACAGTTTAAACAATAATTGAAATGACCATGAGATTGTTTGCATCCACACACACACACACTTACAAACCATTCGTGAAATTTTCACATAAAGTCTTGAGATTCATTGGCAAAATGTGCAAATTCCTATCTTGACCATCAGAGAGAAAATATTTGCTATTTTCTTCCTTCTGGACTATAAAAACAACATGAGTGAAGATGCTTTCCTTCCAACCCAGTGATTCACAGCAACCCAGTGATTCCGGCCATGAACACCCTCAATAGCACATTTTTTCCCTTGCAATGATTAGCAGCTGTCATAAGCCACATAAAAAAGGAAGATCTGCAGATATGTAAATATAAATTGTACTAGAAATGCCTTGAAATTCCTGGAAAAGCATTTCACATGCTCCTTGCACTCCAGTTCTCTACCTCATTTGAGCAAATTCAATTTGGCTTGGGACTGGATTTGTTCTCTGCTAGATATGGCAGCACAGTGTGGGCTTAACAATTCATCCTTATCCAGTACTAAGGAAAATATTCAATTTACAGGTGAATTTAAGATTACTGTTTTGGGCTGACATCACTGTTTCCATAGATACAAGCAGGTGATCTTTACCTTCCTGTATCTTACTCTGACAAGCCTTCATGGCATGCAATAAGCCTTCGTGTTTTAGGCACCACTGCCACTCCATGCTGAACTGCACCCTCAAGTGGCCCTGTCCTTTGTAGTACCACAATGGACATGCTACTAGTTATTCTGTCTTGCTTTTGCACTCCAGAAGGCACAATGCCAGCCACAATGTCTCATTTTGCCGCCCTAGCAGGTGTGATGCTACACTCTTTGTGCTGGTACAATTTTAGTCACCTCACCCCATTGTTGTACCCCAGCAGGCATAATTCTGGCCATCCCACCCCATTTTTGATCTCCTCAGATGCTTGTCATCAACTCCATTTTGTGCCTCAGTTGACATCTTTCTGGACATCCATGTAAACGGATGAGGAATTGGATTGGACAACACTGTTTTTTATAAACTTCTATAGTTTTATAGTTTTATGGTTTTTATATGTACTAGGATGTGATTTAATTGTTTTAACCGATATATGTATGTTTTTATATACAGGATCTAATTGTTGCCGGTCTGTACGCCACCCCGAGTCACCTTCAGGTTGAAACGGGTGGGATAAAAATGACGTAAATAAATAATAAATAAATAAATCCATGCTTAGCAATCTCTTTGCCTCGATTCAATGAGATGTTATCTGGAGCATCTGCCTCTTCCATATCCTCCAAAGGACTACTGCAATGCTCTCTACATGGGGTTGCCTTTGAAGACTGTCCGGAAGCTTCAAATGGTCCAATGGACGGCAGCCAGATTGCTAACAGGAGCGGCGCTCAGGGAGCATACAACTCCTCTGTCGCGCGAGCTCCACTGGCTGCCAATTTGCTACCGGGCACAATTCAAAGTGATGGCTTTAGCTTACAAAGCCCTAAACGGTTCTGGCCCAACTTACCTGACCGAACGCATCTCCCCTTATGAAGCGTCCAGGACTTTAAGATCGTCTGGGGAAGCCCTGCTCTCGATCCTGCCCTTGTCACAAGCACGGCTGGTGGGGCAAGAGACAGGGCCTTCTCAGTGGTGGCCCCTCGGTTATGGAACGCCCTCCCTAGGGATATTAGATCGGCCCCTTCCCTTTTGACGTTCCGCGATTCTGGCACAGCTGGCTGAGTGTCAGCTGCATTAAGATCACTCTGACCAGAAGGTCATGAGTTCGAAGCCAGCCCAGGTCGGAGTGAGCTTCTGGCCAATTTTGTGTAGCTTATTGTCAACCTTTGCAACCCAAAAGACAGTTGCATCTGTCTAGTAGGAAAATTAGGTACCACCTATGTGTGGGGAGGCTAAATTAACTAATTTATGAGGCCATAAAAAGACTCCAGCAAAAAGCACTCCAGCAAAGCATGCGGGGAATGTGGAAGTACTTCATCAGTGTCGCAGATGGACAATGAAAGCGACAGCTCCCCTGGCGGCCAGAAAAAGTTAAATAGCCTCTGTGTATGTCTATATACGTTGCATGTCTAATTGGCATTGAATGTTTGCCATATATTGGCATTGAATGTTTGCCATAATTTTGCCATAGTCACTGCTGAATGTTTTTATGTTGAATGTTTTATGTTGAATGTTTTTATGTTGAATGTTTTTATATTGAATGTTTTTATATTGAATGTTTTATATTGTGTATAAACTGTTTTAACTTGTAAGTCGCTCGGAGCACCTTGGTGGAGAGCGACTAATTAAGAAATAAAGTGATGATGATGATGATGATGATATATGTGTACATTGTAATCTGCCCTGAGTCCCCTGCAGGGTGAGAAGGGCGAAATATATATGCTGTAAATAAATAATAAAAATAAATAAAGTCAAGATTTGGCTTTTTGTGCAAGCATTTTCAAGTACAGTGTGACTGACATAGGAAATGGCACAATTAGACAATGTGATTGATCAATGTTTTCACTAAGAATACACTAATGATATATTTTTGCTATTAATTTTGCTATGGTTTTATAACATTTTAATGTTTTTAATTGTATTTTATGGTCTTGATACTGTCCCAAGTCGCCTGTGGGCTGAGAGAGACGGTATATAAATATAGTAAATAAATAAATAAAGATCATGCCTTGTGGATTTCCCCTTCCACCCTGCATAGGAAACTGCATATCGTGCCATTCTGCAATGGCTTCAGCCTGGTGGTTCTATCATTGATTCAACCCTTCTTTCACTGAGCAACATTTCTTTCCCCCTCATTCCACTGCAGGGAGCCTTATTCTCTTTCCCTTTCTCCAAGCAGCTCACTTCCTATTCATCTTAATCCTGGGTTGCAATGGCAGAAGCCCGATATTCTAACATGCAAACTCTCCCGTTATTCAAATTAACTGTAGGAGAGCTAGGCACAGCCTAGTTAAGTTGAGCCCTAGGGGGATTGCAGTCTAGTGGACTATTACTCCCGTCTCAGTTCATTATAATGAATAATAAAGAGATACTTACACACGTTTTTGGTAAATTATTCATTGCTTGGACTTGGAAAAATCAGGGCAGTAATATGTAAAACAGACAACTTGCATGTCTGTGTTCATATAAATATCTAGCATAAAGCCCTTGAAGGAAGTCGCCGGTCTCCTCATTAAAGATTAAGTACAAGGATCAGAGTTTGAAGAGACAATCAGGATTCCTTCGTGCTGACTTTGTAGAATTGGGAGGGGGAGATAAACCAACTGATGTGTAAATCTTGAACTGGTGGAGGCCAAATTGCCCCTCTTTTAAACCCTGATTCTTTAGTATTTATGCAGTTATTTGTTAGACTAACAAATAAAATTAAAAATAAATAACATAAAAATCCCCCCTCTATCCAATCCAGACTGCAAAACCTCCCAACAGTCACTTATTTGTTTACAGACGTGTTTCCCCAGAGGTTTTCCCTCTTTTAAAGGTTAATTAAGCCCACAACAGTTAGTTTTCTGCATAGATTAGTCAGATATGCCTTGCCACGAGAGTAGGGAAGGAAATAATATTTTTGAACATATTCATAGAATTGCTGAAAAACATGGGTTTTATAAAGAGTTGAGAAACGTCAAGGAGATGTATCCTGGATGGATGAGCATCTTTTTAAAGTTCAGAACTTGTTCTGCACAAAGTTTGCACATAGTTGTTTTGCACAGTTGTCAGAACTTATATGCTGAAAACAGCATTTTCTGTGCCAATAATATTTCTATGAAGGAGGATTACTTGGAGGGAGGGGCGGAAAATGCTGTTCTCTCATAGAAAATATAATTTTCTGCACAAAACATTGATGAAAAGAGAAAGTTTTGAATTGAGAACAGACTTTGTGAACTGTATGATTTTTGAAGAATTTCTCCCAGCAAGAAGAAAATTGCTAAAATTACTAGGTATTTCCTCTGAGTAAAAAAAAAAGCCTCTGAGCTCCCCCCCCCCCCCAAATTGTGCTTTAGTATCTACATTTTAAATGGACTAAATGTACCAATTTTGTATGAAACTGTGATCTTTATTTCCTGTGCAGGTCTATGACCTAAATACATGATTTGATTTGATAGTGAAGAATTACATCACTATAATAATAATAATAATAATAATAATAATAATAATAATAATCTTTATTTGTACCCCACTACCAT